ACGGCCCAGGAGGGTCAGACCCGCACAGCTCCCTCTTCTCTTCCAGAAACCCTGGTGGTGCTGTGGTTAAAGCGCTTAGCTGCTAACCCAAAAGGAAGCTCAGTCTCACCGGTCGCCCCCAGGCCCCCGGCCCAGCCTATGTCTTCCTGGTTCTTCATTCACTCCCTCAACCTAGCCTCCTGCGGTGCTTCCCAGCACTCTGAATGGGGAATTGGACTACACTGATAGTCCAGAGTCGAACCCTCTCTCTTAGTAAGCATGCGGTACATATTTGAGTGAATAAATGAATTAGTCCAAGTCTTACCCAGTAAGTAGCTGTGAGGTTTGAACATATTGAATCCTTCCTTTCAGCATCACTTAGGTAAGATTATTGTTCTGGATGATGTTAATCTGCGTCCCCATACCAGCATTATTTTATTATGTCCAATGTCTGCTCAGTTCTGTGGATTTGTTTATTCAACCAAAAGACCCTGCAAAATGGATTTCTTTTTTCAAAGCTATGTATTTATTTATTTATTTTTTTACAAAACAACCTTATCACCTTCAAAGACCTCTCCATAACACAGTACATTTGTCAAATCTGTGATTCCATTCTTGGAAAAATTTTTCAAATTCATCTCTTTGGATGGCTGACAGCACCTCCCTCATTTTGTTCTTCACCTCTTCTATGTCGTTAAATTCCTGTCCCTGTGCATTTGTGGAAAGGAAGCGAGGTCAGGTGAGTATGGTGTGTGGGGCAAGAAAGGCATGTTGTGTCTTGCTGAAATTGGAGTCCTGAGATGGCAGCTTGAGTAAGTGCATTGACCTGGTGGTGAAACCAGTCCCCTTGTCTGCCACAAATAAGGCCTTTTTGGTCACACACTCTTATGCCATCTTTTCAGAACCTCTTAATCAGTGGTTCTCAACTTTCCTAATGCCTTGACCCTTTCATACAGTTCCTCATGTTGTAGTGACCTCCAACCATAAAATTATTTTTGTTGCTACTTCACAACTGTAATTTTGCTACTGTATGAATCAGCTTACCCCTGTGAAAGGGTCATTCGACCCCCAATGGAGGAGTGACCCAGAGGTTGCGAACTGCTACTCTAAAGAGAAATCATGATTAACAGTCTCACATGGTGGAATGAATTCCAAGTGAGCTATGAGTCAACATTTTAGTCTGTTTGAGAAGTTGGCAGATGTCCAGAACAAGGTTTGTCATCAATTGACATTTTACCTTTTTTGAAAAGATGAGTGTCACACCTACATCCACCTTGGACACTTGAGCTTTTCCCATAGTGTTGTCCTTGTAAGCTGTGCTCAACATCATAACAGTTTCTGTGGTATTTTTCCCAAGCAGGAAACAAAATTTCACAGTTGCATCCTGTTGTCTTAAATTGGCCATCACACACACAAAAAAACACGAGGTTTGAGCAAAACAGCTTTTACAGAAAAATCCACTGTGACCAGAGAGAACTTCTCCGGTGATGCCACCTGAACTGGAGCATGCCCCATTAAAGGGTCCTCCTAGGTGTTTTATGCTTGCCTGATTTCATCCCAACCTCCTGTAGGGGGGCTTTAGGCATGGAGAGGGACAACCCTGTCCCTATTCTGCTATCTAACAAAACCATAATGTAGGGAGGGAACTTGTCTATGTTTGAATGGCATTTTGTTATACCTACATACAAGCATATCTACTACAACTTGGTATTATGATCCCTTTAAAACTTTGACCAAAGAGTACCTAGAACACTTATCATTTGTATGTCTGTGATGATAAGTGTCTTAGATTGGATTCTCTAGAGATGCAAAAACAATAAAACTTATGTTTGTAATGTGTATAGAGAAACTTATCCGAGTACTCCCTCAATGCAACAATAGTTTGTTCTATTAAATTGGCATTCCATGATGCTCACCTTCCCGACACAATTGCTGAAGACAAAGCGGGTGCATAAGCAAATGTGGTGAAGAAAGCTGATGGAGCCCGGCTCTCAAAAGATTTGGCGTCTGGGGTCTTAAAGGCTTGAAGGTTGACAACTGGCCATCTAGCTCAGAAGCAACAAAGCCCACATGGAAGAAGCACACCAGCCTGTGCGATCACAAGGTGCCGAAGGGATGTTATCAGGCATCAAAGAACAAAAAAATCATATCATTGTGAATGAGGGGGAGTGCGGAGTGGATACCCAGAGCCCATTGGTAGGCAACTGGACATCCTCTTATGGAAGGGTCATGGGGAGGAGACGAGCCAGTCAGGGTGCAGTGTAGCAACAATGCAACATACAACTTTCCTCTAGTTTCTAAATGCTTCCTCCCCACCCTCCCACTATCACAATCCCAATTCTACCTTACAAATCTGGCTAGACCAGAGGATGTGCACTGGTACAGATAGGAACTGGAAAAGGATTCCCTTTAGGACCAGTGGTGAGAGTGGCAATACCAGGAGGGTGGAGGGAGGGTGGGGTAGAAAGGGGGAACCAATTACAGGGATCTACATATAACCCCCTCCCTGGGGGATGGACAACAGAAAAGTGGGT